CCTCTGCCGCCGCGGACCCCGGTGACGGGAGCTGCCGCTTGCTGCCAGGAGCCGGCTTCGCCGACCCCAAACCGGAGCCGGCGTTGAAACCGGAGCAAGAGGAGGACTCGCCCGTCCTGGAGCCCTGGGACGATAGCGACGGGGGCGTCCTGGATGTCCCCTGCGCAGGTAAGTGCCTCAGGCCAGCGGCCTGCACTAGCCACCTCCCGGGACGGAGCAGGCTGGGCCGTCACCTGCCGGGTACATCCAGGGTCCCCAGAAGCCCCCGGCACAGGGTCTGGGAGAGCCCGGCGTCATGGACCTAGCCGTGGGGTGTCTCGCAGGCTGTTCCAGGGACGGGTGTAGAGCCTATGGGCCCCCTTCCCACCCCCGGCAGTGGGCACCCCTGAGACTCGTGTGCTTCTGCCAGCTCTTCCATGCTGCGCGCAGCCTGTGCCGGACACGGTCGCCGAGCTGCTCCTGGTCGCCAGCCACCTGCTCCAGGCTTGGAACCGGCGCGCCAAGCGGCGCTTCCTGGCCTTCCGGGCGCTGCTGAAGTGCGGGCGGGCGCTGAACCTGGAGGACGAGGACGACACGCTTGTGGAGGACTGGACGGACATGATGCACGTGGCCATCGCGGCCCAGTCGCCCTGCGTGGACCGGCGCTTCTGGAGCAAGGGCACCGACTCGGCCTGGTGGGACTACGCGGTGCTGCAGACGTGGGACGACCAGCAGTGGCTGCAGAGCTTCCCCATGTGGAAGCAGACCTTTGTGGAGCTGTGCGAGGAGCTGGCCCCGGCCCTGCAGCGCCAGAGCACGCAGTTCAGGGACCCCATCCCTGTGCAGAAGCGGGTGGCCGTGGCGCTCTGGAAGCTGGCCACCACGGACTGCTACCGCTCCGTGGGCGCCCAGTTTGGCGTGGGCAAGTCCACGGTGGGGCTGGTGGTGATGGAGGTGTGCAACGCTATCCTCAGGGTGGTGTATCCGCGGGCCGTCGCCATCCGGCACGTGCCCGACGTCATCGCCGCCTTCCACAGGATGGGCTTCCCCAGCTGCGCGGGGGCCCTGGATGCCACGCACGTGCCCATTGCCTGCCCGCCACGTGGGGCCGGCGAGTATGCCAACGGCAAGGGCTACTATTCCCTGGTTCTGCAGGCCTTGGTGGACCACCGGGGCCGGTTCATGAACACCAATGTGGGCAGTGCCGGCAGCGTGCACGATGCCACGGTCCTCCGACGCTCGGGTGTCTACCTGCTCGGGCAGGCCGGGACCCTCTTCCCACGGTGCGAGGTGGTGATGGGCAATGGGGTGCCGGTGCCCACCGTGGTGGTGGGGGACCCCGCCTACCCCCTCCTGCCCTGGCTCATGACTCCGTACCCCGAGCCCCTGGACCCCGGGAAGAGGCACTTCAATGAGGCGCTGGATGGCTGCCGGCTGGTGGCAGAGCGTGCCTTCGGCCGGCTCAAGGCCCGGTGGTGCTGCCTGCAGAACCGCCTGGACGCCAGCGTGGCCAATGCCGTGCGCATGACCGTGGCCTGCTGCGCCTTGCACAATGTCTGCGAGACCAAGGGCGAGGGTTTCTGCCTGCGCTGGAGCCAGGACAGCCAGGGCACACTGAGCCGATTCCCCCAGCCCGAGAGCGCACCCATCAACGTGGGCTCCAGCCCCCGTGAAGCCCGGGCTATCCGGGACGCCATCTGCAGCCACATGCTGGCCACGCAGGGCGGCGTGAGCGAGTAGTGGATTGCAAAGGTGAGCACAATTCCCGCGGGGAGGCTGGTGGCGTTCGTTCCCTCGGCCCCTCTGTACGGTGTGTAGTTTGGATAGACTAGAGTGCCAGGGCGGCGGGGCAGTGCTGGGCATCCTGGGGACACCATAACCTGGCTCACCCGCTGGCCCGCATCGAGATGAGGCCTTCCCTGGCTTTCCGTGTGCATGCTGTGGCGTCTGCACCTGTCCATCTCAGCTCCCGGGGGCCTGGGTAATTTAATTCTCAGACTGCTCTGTGCTTTTTGATACTTTATTAAAAACCTCTTTTTGCATAAAACTGTGCCCCTTGCCTTGCCCACATCCCAGAGCCACGGCACTTTCCACTGCACATGTCAAGGGACCCAAAAGGGGCAGGTGCTGCTAGCGACAGCCCCATCCAGTCGTACAAGGAGCAATGGCGCAGTGCCGACAAAGCAGCCCAGCCTTGGTGATGCCTGCATCTCTGCTCGTGGCGTGGGGCTGTGCTGTGTGCTGCCCTTTGCCTCGCTGCTTTGGAGCCGCCTGCCTGTTTGCAAGCCCCAGGTGTGTTGGGGCATGAGGACCTGCAGAAGCCAGGGCCAGGAGCTGGGCCTGCCCTCCCTCTCCCTTTTGTGTCATTACCACGGCTGCTAGAAATTGATGGTGAACTAAAATGGACGTCTCTGGTGCTGGTCCAGGGATGGGAGTCCCCCAGGCCTCTGCTGGGTGCACAGCCCAGGCTGCTGCATCTGCAGGCTGGGGGCATGAGCATCTCGGCAGGGCTTGATCGAGCGCGTGGGGCGGCAGAGGGGGGCTGGCAGCTGCACAGCCAGGACATGGAGGGGTCAGGGCCATCCATGGCCTGCACGGTTTACCCTGCCAGGTGTCCGGCAGCCGGCTGGCAGGGGCACCCAACTCCTTCTTGTTGTAGCCGGGCTGCAGGGCATGTCACGGCCCCTGCCCAAGGATGGGATGTTTTGCAGCCCCCACTCCCAAGACACTTCAGGCATCTCATGGGAGCCAGGTGCAAAGCTGGAACAAGCCTGGCAGCAGGGAGCAGAGTAGATGGACGTGCAGTGAGGTGGATACACAGCTGGTTGGATGGTCCTGCTTGATGAGCAGTCTGCAGTGTCTAGCTGGGAGGAGGTATGGCATGGGGGGGGCAGGGGTCTGTCCTGTGGCTGGTACCGTTCAACAGCATTAATGATTTGGTGAATGGGATTGAATGCATGCTCAGGCAATGTGTGGATGGCGCCAAGTTGAGTGGAGTGGCAGACACGCTGGATGGAGAGCAGGCCTGGGATCCAGGATGATCTGGGTAGACTGGAGAAATGGTGCCCAGCCACCCAGATGAGACGCAGCAAGGACCAGTGCAAAGTCCTGCCCTTGGGATGGAATAACTGTAGCACAGACGAGCCTGGGGAATGGCTGGCTGGGCTGCAGGACAGCAGAGAAGGACCGGGGGTCACAGTGGAAATGAGCCAGCACTGTGCTCTTGCTGCAAAACAGCCAACAGCAGCCTGGGTCGTACTGACGAGTCTCATTTGCAAATCAGGGGAAGCTCCTGTTGTCCCTTTCCTCCCAGCAGGTGTCCAATCCCTCAGTGAATCTGTCTGAACGCTCAGTTTCCACCACACCAGGTGGCAACGAGCTCCACATTTAATGACCCGCTGAGTGACAAAGAACTTCCTCATGTTTTAAACTTTCACCCTGCTGTCCTCGTTTCATGCTGTGACCCCTCGCTCTTGTCTGGTGAGACAGTAATACATCCCTGTGGATTTTCTCTTCTCCATGTTGTAAATCCTTCTCCTGTTCCCTCTCGAGTGTCTCTTTTCTAACCTGGCCAGGCCTGGCTTCTTCAGTTTCTCCTCACAGGGAAACCCCTCTATAGCACTCATCATCCTTGTTACCCTTCTCTGCACCTTCTCTAGTTCTTGTATCTGTGTCTGTCTTTATCATCTATATCTATATATACCTATACCTATGACTATGTCTATATCTATGCCTATGCCTATGCCTATTCTCGCTGCCCTGGGGACCCTGGGGCTGTAGACAAGGCCTCTGGGCAACCAGCCCAGCCACAGCCAGTGACACCAGAGGCCCACGCTGCCATCAGAAGAGCTTTGCTGGCAGTATGCAGCCCATGCAACGTGGCAGGGCCAGGACCATGCCCGCTGGGAGCCTGAGCACCACATGCGGTAAGTGCTGCTATGGGGCCCTGGTCCCTGCCCCGGGAATGACCACTCACTGCACCTGCTGCGGCCTGCACCTTCGGGCCCCACAGCTTCCTAGCAGCCCCTCTCTGCCCCTGTCAGAGCAATGCACAGAGAAGTCCCTGAAGTTGCAGCCCAGCGCCTGGGTCTGGGTGGGACAGTGGGTGCGGGGAGAGAGATGCAAAGACGGTGGGTGACAGGGTGAGGACAAGCCTGGAGCCAGGGCAGGGCCCCCTATGCCCTCTTCCATCTTCCTCCCCACTCCTGCTACTCTCTGGGAGGGGGAAACTGCAGCTACACAGCAGGGCTGGCTCCCCCCTCTTAAAAGGACAGGCCAGCCTGCTCCATCTTCTCTCCCCAGACCTCAGTGAGAAATTCTTGGCTGAGCTGAAGAAGGGGGCATTAGTAGGGCGGCAATGTGGGTCAGGATGTGGCTAGCGGGGAGATGGTGACAGGGGTTGGAAGTGGGGGGCAGCCTGCAGTGCGCAGGAAGGGTGCAGCACAGCCCTGGGGGCAGAGAAGGATGGAGCCCTAGGAAAGCTGGGCTGAAAGGGCCCAGTGCACCAGGCACAGCTCGTTCGGTGGTATCCTGTATGGGGCCAGCTGCGTAGCTGGCATGGGGCTCAGACAGGCTCTGGGGCCCGACGTGCCCTTCCTCGCAGCTGCAAAACGCGCAGGTGGAGCCCTGGCTAAACAGACCCTGCAACGGTTGTGCTGAGTGCCAAGGGGCCGGGCAGGCAGCCGAGATCTCAGCTAAACCGGCTTTGTGGCGGAGTGAACTCGTTCCACTTCCTGCCTCTGCAGGGGGGAGAACAGGCATCTTCCCTCTTCTTTACGGCACGGACCCCCGAAGGCCGCTGTCTAGTCCCCCTTCATCTCCTCGTCTCCAAGAGAGAGACACGCCTGGCTCAGCCTCTCCTTGCCCGCGTGCCTTCCACCCCTTGGTTGTTTTTGTTGCCCGTCTCTGGGCCCTCTCCAGCCCCTGCACATCCTCCTTCAAACGCGGAGCCCAGACCTGCAGGCTGTGCTCCTCTGAGGCCTCCCGGGCATCACTGCGGGTGTCAACCGCGGTTGAAATGAGAGAGAAGTGGGGCTTGTTGCACTTAGAAACCGGATTTTTAACCTAGTGCTTTATGAATTGACACAACGCTCGGTTGATGACTAGCAGAAAGGCTTGCTTTAATAACTACCAACAAGTTACAAAACTAAATGGCAGAAAAGGCTCTTTCCCCACATCAAAGGAGCTATTTGTCCTTGTATTATCTTAGCTGCATGGAGTTCTTTACCCAAGGCAGGCAGGGAGCCGTTCTTGTACAGCCGCACAGCGCGGATCCTGCACTTTTGGCTGGGTGGCGCAGGATGGCTTCTCGGGTTTGCCCTGGAGGGCACGCACCTTGCTGCCAGTTCTGTCTTGCTTTTTATACTCTTTTAATTGTATAGCTTCACAGCTTCCTTCTTGAGAGCTGGTTAATCGAGGTCCAAAAGAAGCAGGCCGGGCCAGAATGAGCATATTACAATTGTATCCTGTTCGTGTGCTTGTGAAGTGTGCAAGCTTTTCATCAGTTTGGAATCAAATAGGATGGGTATGGATTGAATGAGATCCCTTGAGGGAGTTGATCACAGAGTACTATTTTTCAGTAGTTGTTTTAACAATGGAGCCTAATAAATAGCTGCAAATGGCTCATGGAGACTGTGAAGATCAGGGACCATTGGATACACTAGATGTGCGGTTCAGGAGAATACACTGGATTAGCAGAATAAACATTTAGAAGTTGACTGCTTATTTGGAGAAACATGCCTTAATTAATAAATACAAACAGGAGCTAGTGAGGATCAGACAACAGGTGTGAGGTAGGTTAGATGCAGTCACACAGACTGATTTAGCATAAAACTTTAGACAGATATTGAACGTTTGCTTTGGGAAATAGGTCTTAATCCAAGGGGGAATGTGTTACCCAGGATATATTTCCAGTCATGTTTTCAATGCAGCTTGGCTTGTTCTTGTCTCTTACAGGCTTTCCTTTGACATGGAAATTTTAGTTCTTTTGTTTTCTTTAGTGACACTTATCTCAGTTGAGATGTAGATGTAGGTTGTAGGTTTCTCCCCAGGCCACTTGGCTTTTTGGCTTGCTCTCCGAGTCTTGTTCCATTATGTGTTAGGTCTCTGCCAATACTTTAAACCATCATTTATTTTGTTAGGCTCAGGTGTGGTAGCAGATCGAGGACTGTTATCATGACTGTTATTGTCTTATGGCCTGGGTCTGGTATTGGGTACTGCAAGTGCTCCACTCTCTTATGTCTAATGGGGTGCAAGCTACGGTGGAGTTTGATTTTCTTTGTGACAGTCTTGTTACCTTGATCCAGTCTTGCCCCATCCATTGTCTTGCATTTTTGTGCAAGACACACTGTCCAAACTTTCAGTTTTCATATGCAGCAGGGACCCCAGATGCAGCGGTCGCATCCAGTCCAGCCCCTGCCTGAAGCAGGATCAGCCCTGTGCAAACCAGCCCAGACAAACCGTTTCCGACCACTGAGCAGCACGACAGCCACCCCTGACAGCCCCAGGCGTCGCACCCGCCCTTGCCCCGGGAAAGCAGGTCCACGGCTGCCAGCGTCCTGCTGCGGGCAGGGGGCCACGGACGCTGCAGAGACACCAGGCTGAGGCAAAACCCCCCTGTGTGGATCTGTTGTGTCCTTTCACTTAGGCTCAGCCGGACGCTGCACTGGGGCAGGAAGGGATTTCTGGTCTGGACTGGGGGGTTTTGCCTTCCCCTGCACGGGGGCATGGCCTTGGCCTGGGCTCTCTGGAGCGTCTATTAACAGACTTCTATAGAAGCAGGACGTTGCAGCCTCCCTGCTTTCCCTGCGGCAGGTTCAGGCGTGAGGCCTGGGCCCGTGTCAGGGTTGACGGCAGTTTTGGATACAGGGTTTGTCTGGGCCGATTTGGACAGGGCTGATCCTGCCTCCGGCCGGGGTGGGACTGGACGTACTCCTTGCCAGCCCCGCAGCTCTGGGGGTGTGTTAGCCCCAGGTGAGACTTAGCACCCAGCGGAAGACAAAGCGGAGCAGAGAGAGAGGAGGGGGAAGGAGAGAG